TCCAAGCCCACCCCTGAGCCACGTCCCCACGTGCCCACATCTGTTGAATCCTGCAGGGATGGTGATGCCACCACTGCCCTGGGCCCTCTCCCAGTGCCTGCCCACCCTTTTGGTGAAGAAATTCCTCCTAATTTCTAATCTGAACCTCTCCAGGCTGTTTCTTCTCATCCTGAGAGGGAACTTGCCAGAAAGGCTTTGTAAAGGTGGCACCTTCTTCAGCATCAGTTGGCTCAGTATTTACTGTGGGGTATTTTTTGTTTTGGTTTTTTTTTTTTCCCTAAAAGAAAGTAGATTTAAGCTTCTGCTTAATGTCACAGATTCCCTGGAAGTTTTGTTTATCAAAACCGGGTTCTGGAGATATCTCTCAGCATCACTCCAAACCAGGCTTGCTTTTTTTCTCTCTCAATTATTCTTAAAACTTGGCTTTGGAGTTAAGTGCTTGTGGATGTCTCCATGTGCCACATTGCAGGGAGAGCTCTCAAATGAGCTTGAGCTCGAAGGCTCAGGGACCAGCAAGGCTCCAGGGCTTGTTTACACAGAAAATTCATAGTTTTTTGGGTGCTGGGCAGCAGATGCACAATCCCATCTGCTGAGCCACCAGCAGAAGCTTCTGCAGAGGGAGCCATGTTTAGACTTTGAGCTGTGTGTGGTGCTTCACTGGGGCTTTTCTTTATTGCAAATCCCAAGGGATTGCAGGAAAACCCCTCTGCGCTGGTGGGCTGTGCCCCAGGCTGCAGCCCTGGGCTGTTATTTCAGTGTCTGAAGCACCTGGAGCCTGTGTGGATACCTGGTACCTGCCATGGGTGGCTTTTGTCTTTCAGTCCCTGAGCTGGGGACTCCTGTATTGAATCACCTGCTTTTCTCAGATTTGCAATCTCCAAAAGCTCGGTTTTTGTGTCAGATGGGGCTGACAGGGGCCACAAGCGACGCAGACCGACAGATAAACACACACGGTGGTTTTGTCCAGGAAACAAAGCTAAAAATAGTAATGATTCATAAAAACACTGTGGAAAATACTGGTTTTCTGGTGCATGGAACAGGTACCATCCAATTTTGTGTGCTATTAAGCTGCCCCCACATTTGGAGCTCCTGTGCAGATGATTTTCTCCCCGAGCCGACGTCTGCTCTGGCAAACTGGGGGATTTTATTTTGACAGAGAGACACTTGCTTGGCAGTTCCTATTGAACAGAACTGATCTTGAGGCTTCCAAATACTCTTTTCCTTAAAAAAAAAAAAAAAAAAGCCTTTTAAGTGTGTTTGTGTTTGGGGAGATAGTCAATCTTGTGAGCTGGACTGTTGAATTCTGGAGGGAAGGGGGATCCTGGTTCCTGCATCCCACTGCAGCCTGCTGGGGTGGTTCTGCTGCTTATTTTGGTTTTAGAGCAGTGCCATGCTCAGGATTGCTGGTGCTCCTGCAAACCACTCACAGACCTTGGCCTCAGAGGCTTGGAGAGGCGAGTGCTTTGCATGTTGGAACAAAAGGAGCTCAGAAATTTGGCCTGATCCAGTTAAAAGCCGTGAAATCACCTGATTTCAGCCCAGGATTCATTAAATAACCATAAAGGCAGCACATCCCCCCCACCATCCACACACCTCTGGGTGCTGCAGGTGCAAGTCCTGGCCATGGCAATTCCCATTTCCCATCCCTGGTGCTATCATGAAATCCATGTCTTACTCAAGCTGCTGTTGTTGCTTTCTGCTTTCTCAAAAAGCAAACCCCAAAGAATGTTAAACCCTGCCTGCGCTTTGGCAGCTGGGAGGCACGGACAGATTGTGCTTCAAAAAAATGGCAAAGTTTCAAAATATTGTGTTCTGTCAAGAAGAGACAAGGAAAATAAACTCCCCAAAATGCAGATTTTATTTCCTTGGGAGGAAAGGTTTTTAATGTTTATTTGGGTTTGGCCTTTTGCTCCCTGGTTCTGCTGACACGGCTCGTGAGCCACGATAAGATTCAACGCTGCACAACCTGTTCTGGGCCCAGTTCAAATCAGCTTCTTTGCCAGTAGATTCATTTTCCCCTTCCCATAGCAGTTCCTGAGCATCAGGGACAGCACATGGGGTGGTGCAAGCAAAGCCACGAAGGATAACGTGGAAAAAAGGGAATAGCAGAGCAAATTTGTGCCTATTTCTTTGACTTGGGTTGTGCCACTGTGACTGCAGCAGAGTGAATCCTCTGGAGGAGCTGCTGAGTGTTCACAGGGATAGTTCAGCTCTAAAAGAAGCAGTTTCTCCATAGGCAATTTGGTGGGTTTTAGTGTCTGCTTTTCCACGTGCAAAATCAGTTTGAAGATGCTTTTCCTGTTCTTGTGCTGTTCCTTGAGGATGCAGAGAGGTGGCTGGGATGGCAGCTTGGAAAATGCCAGAGGAGCAGGGAATTGCTTTCCCTGCCCTGCCAGACCTGTATTTTTGAGATTCCTTTTTTTGGGTAAGGTGCCAACATCCAGAAGAGCTCTCCCCATGAGCATCCCACAGGGCTGAGGTGCACTTGGCACAGCCTGGGCAGGAAGGGGGATCTGGAGCATCCAGCACAGCTGGGCTTGCTCCTCACTTCTGCCTCCTGCATACAACCCAAAAACTGGAAGGAAAAGGGTCAAAGAGCAGCTCTGCTCACTGGAGGAATTCCTCCATTGGTTTTTAGAATAGTTTTTCCTTCCTTACACACCTGTGGGAGTCCAGAGCTTCCCTCTGGCTGCCCTGGGACCCTGGCAGGG